AAGAGAGAGAGCAAGAGAGACAGAGCAAGAGAGAGAGCAAGAGAGAAAGGGGCCTGGCAGGAGGGAGTTTTTATAGCCCAAATCTAATGGGGTCTCCGGGTTTGCAAGCTGCCTTGTTGGCACACAAGGGGGTTAAGTGCTCAGCCTTGAGCAGGGAGTTGACTGTTCAGCCTTGAGCAGGGGGGCAAAGCACTCAGCCTTGAGCGGGGGCTTGGGCCTTTGGGCTTGAAGCCAACAGGTGATAAAGAACCAGACAGAGGGTTTGAGTGGCCAGGTCATCCTGCAGACATGTTTGTCATGCCCTGCAGACAGCTTATTCAGCCTGTCCTGCACCTAACATTCCTTCCTTTTTGTTTTTCTAAGTGACATGAGGGATGGCATAAAGTCCTCTAGCCACTTCCTGCTTAATGGTGGGTGGCATGGAACCTAGAAGGGAAAATGGAGGAATGTTCAGAGGACAGGTCTGAGGACACCAGGGCAGCCAAAAATAACATCCAGTGGCTATAGAGAGTTATCTTGGAAGGGACAAAGTCCATAAAGATTCCTTGAAGCCATAGGTTGTCAAAGGCATCACACCATTTCTGAGCGGAGGAGATCTTTGGTATCAGCCAGTGATCCTGTCGTAGGGGCTCCAGGAAGTATCGGAGGTGGCTTGAATTCAGTAATGGAAAGGGTGACAGCCCGATTGCAGCCAGTGGAAGGACAATCACTTTGACTCATAAACTGAGAGTGGGTGGTGTCATCCTGGTGCCATGTTTCTTGAATGTAGAAGCAGCATCTGTGGTTTGAGATAAAAACTTGAGAATAATGATTAGTAAAAGAAGAAGAGGATTGGCGAGAAATTTTGAGTTTGGTGGGTGTGGTGGAAATCCAGGACTGGATATTTGGAACAGGTGTCTTTTAAAGGTGGGAGACATGGTACCAGGGAGAGTGTCTAAAAGCTTGATCACCATTGGGGTAATAAGTATGACTGTATGGGGTCCCTCTGTCGAGGTTCCAACGATTGAGAATGCAGTTCCTGAATTAAGACTGAGTCACTCATTTGAAGAGGGTCCAATTTATTTGCTGGGATTGAGGCAATGAATGGCGCAGGAAGGCACTGGTCTGCATGTTCCCTTAGGAGTTTGCATAGAAGTGTGAGATAGGACAGGTAGGACACAAGGGGAGGAGGAGTGATTGGAAAGCTTTGGGTGGTTAAGAAAGGGCACCGATAGAGTTGCTCAAAGGGGCTAAGACCTGAGGGGGCCCTTGGGGCTGCCTGAATTCAGGTGAGGGCCAATGGCAGGAGATTTGACCAGAAGAGCCTGAGTTCAATAGCAAGTTTAGAGAGATCATCCTTGAGAATGCTATTAGGCCTCTCAACCTTACCAGAGGATTGGGGTTGGTAGGGGATGTGGAGCCTCCAAGTGATGTTGGGGCCTATGGAGACTAGTTGAACAACCTGAGAAGTGAAGGCTGGACTGTTGTCTGACTGGATGGAGGCAGGAAGTTCAAACCTGGGAATGATCCCCTCAATCAGGATGGAGGCAATGGTTTCGGCAATTTCCCTGGATGTAGGGAAGGCTTCTATCCAACAACCTGAAAAAGTATCAGCCAAAGTAAGTAGGTAGTGAAGCCTTTCGTGCCTAGGCACATGAGAGAAGATGATCTACCAGTCTTCGCCTGGCTGGTGGCTCCTCATCTGAAGTGTGGGAGTTTAGGTTTGATGCTTCCTTGTGAGGATACTATAGAGCAGACAGAACAAGCAGAGTGGACCTGCTGGAGAGTAGTTCTCATTCCTAGGAAGTGAAAGAGGGGTTATAAAATCTGGAAAAGGGGTTAGGGAGGTTTTAGATGAGCCCAGAGTCTCTGAAGCCAGAGGAGTTGGTCATGAGTCATAGGCCTCTGTCTTGGGTATCAGGGGCTGGTAGTCTTAAAGAAGTAGTTGATTGACTTACTGGTTGGTGAATTTGTGTATATGATCTTGCAGGAACTTCTGTAGGCAATTTAATAGACATGGTCCTATTAGGAGAAACATAAAAAGGACATAAACATAAAAAGGGGTCTTGCGAGGGGGAGGAGCCAAGGCCATAGGGAAACAGTTTTATTTGGTTGCAGCGGGATTCAGAGGGCACAGGTTCTGCTGTAATCAATTAATTCCCTGAACCCCAAGTTTAGGTAGTTTCAGAATTTTGCACCCAGCATGTAAGGGGAGGGGCTCAGAAGTTCACAATCTGCAGAAGTTCACAAAAAACAGGCTTTTTTTTTTTCTGTTCTGGGCAAGTTAACCCTTCAAGGACACCTGGGAAGGGGAGAGCTTTATCTTCCCTATCTTTCCTCCCCCTGCCAGCTGTTACCATGGAGCCCAGTTGGAAGCACCCTTATCTTAGAAATGTAATCATCACTGTGAAGCCCAGCTCAAGGCCAGAGGCCTTGTTTACATATTTTTGTGAAAAACTGTCCAGCACCTGGAGTGCTGATTTTTCCCAGACAGTGGCCACGTAAAAACGGGCAACATGAAAAGAGGAAGTTTATCTACACTGAACTCTTTTGTAGAGATTCTTTTGCTGAAAGTCCTAAAATCAGCCATGGTGAAGATTCTGGAGAAGGTTAGTTAAGATTTTTCTGTGGGCCTGGGTAGGGAGGGGGAAGACGGGAAGGTGGGGCTGAGAGCAGCTCTGGTGGATCTGAGAATGAGGAAGGAGATGTGAAACAATAATGGGAAAGGGGTTTGGAATTTTCCCTAGCAAGGTAAACTTGAGGAGCAGAACAGGTAGAGCAGAGGGGAAGACGGGAGTGAATATGGGACCGGGTGTGGGCACTGACAGGAGAAGAGAGGAGTGAGTGGGTGGAGGGGTACCTTCAGTACCTGCTGCCTCATGCAAAGGGGCAACAGTCTGAGGAAGGGTGGTGGTGTAGGTTTTTGATCTAATAATTGGAAGGGAGAAATCAGGTTGCTGAGGTGGGGGTGAGGACGGAGTCTGGGGCAGAAGGCTGAGGGTGAGGATCTGTTGGAACCGGGCGATAGGATGGAGGTTCATCAGCAGGGTCAAAAGTAGTGGATGAGTCTGGAGGAGAAGAAAGTTGGGTATCGGTGGTTGGGGGAGTTGGTTTGCAAGCTAGAAGAATTTGTAGAGGTTTGCAAGAGGTGCAGAGAGCAGGATTGGAACTGGACATAAGCGAACTCTACCCATTTTTTCAAATGCTCACAATAATTGTAGAGATCCCTTAGAATGGAGGGATCCAGGGACCCAAAAGGGGGCCATCTGCTTTGGTTGTCTAAGGGATAAGTGGGCCAGGCCTGGGTGCTATAATTGATCAATTTTGGGGGTTTGATGTCTGGTGTCAAGGAGAGGGTTTTGAGGTTATCCAAGAGGCATTGTAGGGGAGAGTCAACCAGCAGAGAGGACACATTACCCATGTCCCAAACGTAGTATAAGGAGGAGGGAAGAGGATGCAAAGATAGTATAAGAGAGAAGGAGGAAACTGATTTATTGGCAAAAGGGGCATCCCCGCCAGAGCCAAAAATCAGGAGTGCCCAAGTGGCAGGTTTGAGCTGCAGAGATTGGTTGTCACCGAATCCTGACAGTCAAAGCTCTCGTCCTGGATGGAGCCGGAGCCGTGGGAGACCTTGGCCAAGGCTTTTCGGGACCCCTCCTGGAGAGGCCGAGACTCCCAGGGCCGTAAAGAGGGGAAAGAGAGAGACAGGGGAAGAGAGAGGAAGGGGAGGGTAAGCATCTTTCTAGCGGCAGAGTCT